TTTTTGGTACTGGGAATTGAACTCAGGTCCTTGCACTTGCCAGGCAAGTACTTATTCTACTGAGCTATCTCCCCAGGCCCCTCATAAGCCTTAATTGCCACAACTTTATATAAATTTGAAATCAGATAAGAGTAATTCTCTAATTTTGTTCGTCTTCAAAGTTATTTCAGCACTTTCAGGTGTATTTCATTCTTTATAAGAACTTTAAATTTTTCCATCATCTACTAAAACACACTTGTGGAATTTTTGTTGTGCGATTGCATTAAATTCACAGATTAGTCTTGGAAGAACTGACATCTTAAGAATATTTAGCCTTTTGATTCAGGAAGATGGCACATGTCTCCATTACTTAGGTCATATTTAATTTCTCCCAACAATGGTTTACAGCTTTTAGTCTATAAAGATCTTTTTAAATCCTTGGTTTCTAATTTATCCTCCAAAATTTCAGTTAAGTTCCATGTGTGTGTTGGTGATTTATGGAAATTCAACTGATTTTTCTTTCTGAATCTTGAATTCTGCAATTTCACTAACCTTTCTTACTAGTTGTAGAAGCATTTTGTAGATTGCTCTGGGTATTTGGATGTAAACAAGTACGTTATCCACAAATAAAGCATTCTTTATTTCTAATCTAAAAGATTTTTATTTCCTTTTTAATAGAATCAAGCTTTAGTGGTCCTAAAAGTACAGAGACCTGCGTTTCAGCGCCAGCTCTGTCATAATTCACTGCACAACTTTAGACGTCACTGTCATGCTCTAAACCCCAGTTCTCATCTACAGTAATCTATTCTCTGCGACCAGCCTGTTTCCTTCCATCTCTAATACTTCGTAAGACTAGGTACACTCAGAGGGGCTCACACTCGTGGTCCACAGCCTCTAGCCTCTGCGTCCTGCTCTCCTCCTATTCGGAGACTGACGCCTTGTGCTCCTGACGCTTGGGCTGAGTCACCTGAACTCTTCCATTGACACAAAGGAGCGACTGTCCTGAGTCATTCTTTCTCATTTATCATACTGCCGTCAGGGAGGAAGGC